GTGTGTGTGTGTGTGTGTGTGTGTGTGTGTGTGTGTGTGTGTGTGTGTGTGTGTGTGTGTGTGTGTGTGTGGAGTGAGTGAGTGAGTGAGTGAGTGAGTGAGTGAGTGAGTGAGTGAGTGAGTGAGTGAGTGAGTGAGTGAGTGAGTGAGTTAGAAGAGGTAAAGGAGTGGCACAGTTTTAGTGATCACTTAAGAGTAATATCACCTATATAGTTTCCTAATGCAAACCAGCCACACACATATACATTCACAGCATTTGGCCAGCGTTCTGCTTTTTAATAATTTAAAAGGTTTATTTGCAAATTAAAATTCAACTCAATTAAGATTGAAGATTACATCCAATACGATTAAGCCTTTTTGAACCCATCAGCCAGTAAATCATCCCGCTTACAACGATTTACAGCTCAATTGGGCAATACTGCAAATACACAACAAAGCACAACATGCCCATAATCCTCAGGGGCGTTTACCTGGCATGCCACCAATCTTGATGCAGCCAATTAACCTAGAAACTTAATTAAGAGAGTTAATTATTAAACAAACCTCATGAGTCATTTTTGTTTGTCAATCGGTTCTTGGCTGGGTTGGTGGAGTGCGGCCTCCTAAGCCCTGTAGGAATAATCAACCTTTATCCAATGTTCATATTGTATTGTAATGAGACGGACAGACTGGAGGAAAAAACTAAATATCTTAAGGGATTTAGTAAAAGCACAATTTAATCAACCGTCACAGACAGAAGTAAATGAAATGATGAAGACATGACAGTTCCAGCATCACAAGTTTATTTATCTATTGACTTTTCATCTCCAAGGTACATCCTGTCCCTTGTCCCTGTCAATTTTATGAGTATAGAAAATGAGTTTCCCTTGCAATCAAATCACAACTAAAAGATGGCTTTCTTTGTTCGCTTATCACAATCGCTAAAGAAAAAAAACCCACAGAAAATGAGATCATAGAAAATGAAAAATGAGTTTTGACGGCTAGCTTAATGTGTCACTTTTGTCACTCCAGTAATGACTAGTCTCTGCAAAATGTGACAAGGTGTTCCAAAATAGTAGTACATTTGTATCGTGCACAAAAACACGCTGTTTTTAGAGATGTATAGATTAAGTTGCACTTCGTGTATTGCCTGAAAATCCCCAATGTCACAATTCCCGCCTCTCTTCACACTGTCGATCTGTCTTTCATCCTTCCTCTTTGTTCATCTTGTGTGCCTCGGTTTATTCCACTCGTACGTGCACTACCTGACACCGAGCACCCCTCGGTTTTTTTCACAGATATAATTTCATGGTGGCTTTGAACAAATTAACGATAGTTCAGTGCAATATTAGTACATGTCTGGGGAAAGACACCTCAAAGACACCAACAAAAAGGGGATGAAGGAAAATCAAAAGGGAAAGCAGCAGAAGATGACAACATGTTTCATTTGTATTTTTGCAAAAGGATATCTGTTCTTCGACCCCACAAACCAACACAAATCTGGAAGATGTGCTACACATGTACTTTAAAAACATTCATATACAACCATGTTTTAATGAAAGGTTGTTCTGATTTGTTTTCAGTTTTCTGGCTTTAAACTTGAACAATAACTTAAAAAACCGTGACTTTCACGCTGATTTTGGCTTCCATAAACAGCAATTTGTCACGAAGAATTCACAAAGAGTAGAGCTTCACGACGACACAAATTGGAAACTGCTAAAACGTTTTCCTTTTTGAAGCTTAAAGCACACACTCAAAGGCGTGCATGCGTGGAGAATGAAAACAGCGAAAACAAACAAAGAATCGGTATAAGACCTTGAGATTCAAATTTGCCCTTTTGTCACTTCATTTTTTCCATCTTCTTAGATTTTGGCATCATTCAGCACGTCTCGTAAATCGGTGCATTTCTCTGCCTGCTTTGGTTGCTGGCCACCTCGAAACGGAAAGTCAAGTTCAATTGAAACTAATTCATTTGAACACTCTCTTTCTACCTTTAACCCCTCCCATTTTTAGAATGGTAAGTGAGTGGGACTGGCAATTAAAAGGGGTAGATACAAAGTCATGTATGGAGGACTTGGAGGTAGTGTACATCATAAGAAAGCTTGGAACCTGAAGATGCAGCTCAGCCTTCTATGTGAAGTTATTTCAGTCATGAATCAGAAATAAAAACAAATTAATTAAGTAGTTAAAATAAATTCTAATACCATTTTAAGGGCTGAGACCATTATGATCGAAAATATGTTTTTGCCATTCCCATGCTCAATTATATCTCATAAGTTGTTGCACACATTTTTGGGTTGAAACCTTTTGTTACACAGATTTGGTGCTAAATTTGACCAGTTATGCAGCTTATATAGTTGTAAACATAAACAGTCTAAATCCTAATCCATTTCCTGTTAATGTGAATGACATCAGCTGACAGGAAGTTGTCATGGACCCAAGCTGGGGAACTCCATCGAAACAATGTGAGATAACAGACTTGTCAATCAGGGTATTTGATACGATGAATAGTCTTCTTATTTTGTCACTTTGAGACTTCTAATGGGATCAGTTGTACACTTCTAAGGAGATAAAAGTAGTAGTATTAGTAACATCGAATAACAGGCTGAGCTGGGGTCTGTTCCTGAACCCCATGTCGGTGAGGGGCGGGACTCGGACAAAGCCAGCCGGGCAGCATCTCTCTCCCGATGGCCTTAATGGATTCCCCTCTCTAACTAAAAACATAAATTTTCTGTCTCCTTGGCTCTCCTCCACAGCCCCCAGATACAATAGATTTTTTTTTTCTTTTACCTTTCTCCTTCCCCCTTGTACAGTCGCTAACTTCTTCTTTTCTCTAGCTGAGTAGAAGACGTCTGAAAGTGTGAGAGCAAGAGAGAAAACACAGACAGCGTTC